TCTTGGTCGATTGCCCCCAGAGTGGCGTTTGGCTTGGGCGCCAGTTTCATCGGCGCTTTCAGTCCCCCTCTGGATCGACCCGTTATGCCTCTCATACCTCATCAACCCTCAGCACTAATACCATTCGCTGAATCAAAAACATCCTGACACTTCGAAATGCGGGCTAATCATGTGGATCCGACCTGCTACCAAATCGGCGGCTGCGAGCTGTCTCTGTGATCGCTGCATTGTATGGCTGCGCATTCGCATGGTTTTTTGAACAGCCGAAATTTAGGATCTTTTGTTGGGCAGATCGAAGTTCAGTGAGGACATCTAGTTCACGATTTCACGGGTGACCGCGTGAATGGACACTGGATGTTTCAGCTAAATGATCGTTTTACGAACTGCTTTACAGGGCACAGGCAAAAGTTGTCCAGTCGGTACAGTGTCGAATTCACAATCGATTGACTTAGGTTGGAGCCTCTATCCGATATCTCTACTTTCATAGTTCTGAGGCAGATAATCAAGTACCAATTAGTATAAGGGAAACATGTGACTACACGGTATAATGGAACCTAATTACAACAGAGATAGCCTGAAAGCTACGAAGCACATGGCCGATGACACGGAAATGAAAATCAGCGCTGCACTATGAACTCCGTGAAAGAAACACGCCACAAATGATGGCTTATCATGGAAGCGTAAGGAAGACTTGTTACAACGGTTCAGACTTTCTCTCCCCTTTCTCTAACAAAGCATACAACTGCCTGGCGACGTGTGACATCGGCACGTACGACTACTCGATTAGTGTGCATCTATGCAGCAGCGGACACACGTGCCAAACCAAAATACCTCTTATAAATTATACAAAAGCACATTTGTCTTGAGATAAAGAGCAGGTAACACTTCGCTCATATTCACGTTATTGTGGTAAAAGCGCTCTTAATTAAATCTGCTCTATCAAGGCTGTGTCACCGCTATCAAGTGGCGAACTATCTTAGGCTTCGATGCTGACTTATTTGTTATGTTAAAGAAGTGACTAATGTGTGCAAACATTTACCCTCAACAAAATAGTGCCATGAAATAAGTGAGGTGGTTGAATATTATTCGGTGGAATAATGGAGAAGAACCAGGGTTTCATTTATGTTGGCTTTCGAATCGGAGGTATCAACTGAAAGGAACAATTGGAAGGAACATTTTTATTGCAGCGTCAAAGGTGAAATTCTTGGATCATGGTAAGACAAACAGCTGTGAAAGCATTTTTCAGGCCTGTCTAAGTGATCAGATACCGCCCTAGTTCTAACTGCAAGTGATACCGTCAGTGATTCGTTGATATTATACCACGACGGGATGAGGAACTTCCGGAAAACAAACATTATCAGCTTCCTGTGGAAGTACAGTTGCACGGTTAAACTGAAAAGAATTGACGAAAGTGACATCACCAGGAGTAGAGCCTGTTCAATTTGACTCAACACGGATAACTCACCCGATCAACACATTGAAAAGATCATTAGATCGAGAGCTCTTCTTTAAACCAATGCTTGCTGCTGCATCGCCGTTCCTAGTTGGAGGAGTGACTTGTTTAGTCAATGCCAATAATGAACGAGACACTGCAATATTAAGTAGTGAATATCTGGGAAAACTAACAGTTATTTCTTCAAATACGATGGCCAGGTTGTTAGACAGTGAACACGCTAATGGTACAACAGCATCCAGTTTGGGTTGACAATAAGTGTCTGCTCTCGTTTTGCTATTTGTTTGCTTCATACAAATCGTTTATACAGTCTTCCTCATATTTCTAATATATAGAAGATTATGGCGGAACAAACCAGCAACATCATAAATAGATAAGAAAAGATTATACTGCCGCAAAGTGAGGTAAAGCAATTGCAGGTAGTTGGTTTCTAGCTTTGGAGTGGTGGAGTTGTTTCAAGCGGGAGAGAGAAAAGCAACTTATCTTAACCACTGATTTCCTTGAGCGCAACTTGGAGCTACAATTCACCTCAGTCCACTTGATAGCTGACTATCCAGTGTGATAATCAGCACAAGATGTGAACTCGAAAGATTTTACGATCAAAGCATGGAGCCAGCGTTGCTGCATTGTTGGTATATCTCTATCCAACTACTCAGGCTTTGTACATTATCTGCTCCGTATCTTTTATTTCAAAACGAAAGTTTTAATGTCACGAACCCAATTAAAATAGGGTTCAACATCCAAAGGGGAATAACTACACTGGCTAGGTTTGAATTATTCCGATGTTGAATGCAGAACTACCATAAATGGTGAAACTGCCACAAATCCTTCCTTCCTCAGAAATGGAGAATAATGGCACACTCATCAATTCGCCCTAAATCATTTAAACTAAAAAAATGCAAATAAAAAATGTATCTACAAGACTATAATCCTGATGTTCTGGGGTAGCGTTCAGGAGTTGGAGTTATTCAGTACCGCCTGTCAGTATATCACAACGTGAAAAAGTGTTTGTTTCAATAAATTCTGCATGAAACCTGATTTCAAACCGGTGCCTTATGTCCCTTGAAACCTGTTATGAAACCGCACTATTTACTTTAGTTAGTACTACTTACACCTTTAAGAAAATATTTCAGTGTAATATTAAACTCTGTTAACAAAAGTATTGAAACCCAATCAGACATGCCCTAAACGATCCTGCGTAACCGAGCCTTTAGAGGAACCTTCTACTGTCCGAAGAAATGAACATGATGTAAAAGGTGCAGATTCGATTAACATAGAGATGGTGGTTCCTTGAGATAGATGCGTCACGTTTAGCACCATTTTGCTAATCTTGAGGTGAAATTTGGGCATATTAGCTTTCACTAACGCCGGCAAGAGAAAACAACATGCATCACTTCCCTGGAATTACAAGGCATAATCATACCGCCACTTTGCTTCTGTGGTCTTAAACTGTTTAGGATAACTTAATTAGACCACGGCTAGGCGTCATTACAGCTTTAATATAACCATATTTCTCCGCAAGATCAAGCATCGTTAGATGGTACGAAAGAAAAAACTTCCGGAATAGACGTGGCTATTCGAAAAGGAAAGCTCTGAGCTTGCCAAAACCTTACAAAGCCATTGCCTAGAACCCAACTGCGCTGGGGCGAGGGCGGAGGGATATGCCTCCTGGCTGCAGAGGCGTTTTGTTCAAGAAGCCTGCACGTGTCGATAGTATTCAGACCTGTTTCCATCATCAGGTGAAGACACAAGGCACCAGTGATCATCAGTGACATCGAGCAAGGATCGAATTTCATCTGGTTAATCTGTTTATGTATTCAACCACAAAAGTGCGCTGGTTATTGTTTGACTAAGCCCAGTGCTGCAGTT